CCTATATTGGCGCGACAGTTGTCCGAAATGAGGTTGGGTAGAAAAACAAGCTTTCCACGTGATGGACAAAGGGCATACAACTCTAAAATTGCTCAATATATCATGGAATACGTCTTCCTTCTGACTCACAGAGGGCCTGGGTCAGTTATTGTTGGTTAGCTGGAGGATGTTGTGGCTGTCGAACAGGATAGTCCAGGACACCCCTGAGGTGTTCTATGGGGGACATGTCTGGGGAGCGTACAGGCGACGGCAACACGTTGACGTTGTTTGCTGCGAGGACGTTCTGTACGAATCGGGCCGTTAGGGGGCTATAAAGGACACCACGTGGCAGCTGTTACAGAAATGGTGGGACAATCGACGAAGAATGTCATCCGTGAAACGCTGAGCTGTCAATATCCGGTAAACCAGTGGTGTTCTCTCCTGGCTACAAATTCCTCCCTTCACCATAACACCCCCTCCACCATACGGCACGACCTCCTGAACGCAACATGCCGCCGTTCGTTCTCCTCGTCGGCGGAAAATGCTATCTTCCATCAGCTCTGAACAGACAGGACCGGCTTTCGTCAGTGAAGACGACCCTCTGCCTGTCACGTACAGTCCGGACCCATCTCAATCTCTGTTACGCTGTCAATAACTGTCTTCTGTAATGGCGGTAAGCCCTAATTCCTTGATCCCTGAGTCGCCTGGTTACTGTCTGTCGACCAACAATATGCCCTAAGGCATACGTCGCTGATGAAATCACTGCCAGGAATCGATTCCAGAGACGCAAAATACACAAGTACCGGTCTCCATTAGGCGCAGTTACCCTGGGTATGCCTGTTCTTGGCCTGTCTGATGTCTTCCCGGTCTGTTTGTTACATTGCATCACGTTAGATACAGCAGCACGGGAGAAACCAAAAGTTCCAGCAATGTGGGCATGGGTGTTCCCATCTATAACATAACCAGGGCCCGCTCGCGTCTTGGTTTTTTTAATCAATGTGAGTGTCTGACATGCCGTCCGTATCATTAATATAGCCTTATTGCAGGTGTAGTTTCGGCTGCCCAAGCGGCACGTGTTTTTCACGTTTTCGCATTTTCTACAACTTAAACGTGCCGTGGACGTGTATCACTTTCTGCTCAGTCTGCATAGAGCATTGTTGTGTTTGAACGACGTGTTTTGCATTGATTTAATTATATTCCCCATCTATACTTTTAAAATGCATTCCTTGTCTATACTTTTAAAATGCATTCCTTGTCTATACTTTTTAAATGTATTCCTTATCTATACTAGTGAAATATTTTCCTTATCTATACCAGTGAAATATATTCCTTGTCTATACTTTTGAAACATGTTCCTTGTCTATACTTTTGAAATGCGTTCCTTGTCTATACTTTTTAAAAGCATTCCTTATCTATACTTTTGAAACATATTCCTTATCTATACTTTTGAAACTTATTCCTTGTCTATACTTTTGAAACATGTTCTTTGTCTATGCTTTTGAAATATATTCCTTGTCTATACTTTTAAAATGCATTCCTTGTCTATACTTTTTAAATGCATTCCTTATCTACACTTTTGAAATATATTCCTTGCCTATACGTTTGAAATATATTTCGTGTCTATGCTTTTGAAATATATTCCTTATCTATACATTTTAAATATATTTCTTGTCTATACTTTTGAAATATATTCCTTACCTATACATTTTAAATATATCCCTTGTCTATACTTTTGAGATATATTCCTTATCTTTACTTTTAAAATGCATTCCTTGTCTATACTTTTAAAATGCATTCCTTGTCTATACTTTTTAAATGTATTCCTTATCTATACCAGTGAAATATATTCCTTGTCTACACTTTTAAAATGAATTCCTGTCTATACTTTTGAAACATGTTCCTTGTCTATACTTTTGAAATGTATTCCTTATCTATACTTTTGAAACATATTCCTTGTCTATACTTTTGAAACATATTCCTTGTCTATACTTTTAAAATGCATTCCTTGTCTATACTTTTAAAATGTATTCCTTATCTATACTAGTGAAATATTTTCCTGATCTATACCAGTGAAATATATTCCTTGTCTATACTTTTGAAATGCATTCCTGTCTATACTTTTGAAACATGTTCCTTGTCTATACTTTTGAAATGTATTCCTTATCTATACTTTTAAAATGCATTCCTTGTCTATACTTTTGAAACATATTCCTTGTCTATACTTTTTAAAAGCATTCCTTATCTATACTTTTGAAACATATTCCTTGTCTATACTTTTGAAATATATTCCTTGTCTATGCTTTTGAAATATATTCCTTGTCTATACTTTTAAAATGCATTCCTTGTCTATACTTTTTACATGCATTCCTTATCTACACTTTTGAAATATATTCCTTGCCTATACGTTTGAAATATATTCCTTGTCTATACTTTTGAAATATATTCCTTACCTATACATTTTAAATATATCCCTTGTCTATACTTTTGAAATATATTCCTTATCTTTACTTTTAAAATGCATTCCTTGTCTATACTTTTAAAATGTATTCCTTGTCTATACTTTTAAAATGCATTCCTTGTCTATACTTTTTAAAAGCATTCCTTATATATACTTTTGAAACAAATTCCTTGTCTATACTTTTTAAAAGCATTCCTTATCTATACTTTTGAAACATATTTCTTGTCTATACTTTTAAAATGCATTCCTTGTCTATACTTTTAAAATGCATTCCTTATCTATACGTTTGAAATATATTCCTTGTCTATGCTTTTGAAATATATTCCTTACCTATACATTTTAAATATATCCCTTGTCTATACTTTTGAAATATATTCCTTATCTTTACTTTTAAAATGCATTCCTTGTCTATAATTTTTAAATGTATTCCTTATCTATACTTTTGAAATATATTCCTTGTCTATACTTTTAAAATGCATTCCGTGTCTATACTTTTTGAATGCATTCCTTGTCTATACTTTTTAAATGCATTCCTTATCTATACGTTTGAAATATATTCCTTGTCTATACTTTTAAAATGCATTCCTTGTCAATACGTTTGAGATATATTCCTTATCTAATATCTATACTTTTGACATATTTCGATACCTAAGAAATACATTCCTTGTCTATACTTTTGAAATATGTCGATGCTTAAATAATGTATTCCTTGTCTGTAGTTTGGTAATTCCCTATCTATGCTTAAGATGTAATCATCTGGGTGTCGACCTACCTGAGACGCTGGGGCTGGCCACGGCCTGTGACAGGTGACAGATAAACAACAGCAGGGCACACATCCTTCTGTCAGGCGAGACACGTGCAGGTGAGGCACACATCCTTCTGTCAGGCGAGACACGTGCAGGTGAGGCGCACATCCTTCTGTCAGGCGAGACACGTGCATGTAAGCCACAGTTCCTTCTGTCAGGCGAGACACGTGCAGGAGGGGCGCACATCCTTCTGTCAGGCGAGACACGTGCATGTGAGGCACACATCCTTCTGTCAGGCGAGACACGTTTATGTGAGGCACACATCCTTCTGTCAGGCGAGACACGTGCAGGTGAGGCGCACATCCTTCTGTCAGGCGAGACACGTGCAGGTGAGGCACACATCCTTCTGTCAGGCGAGACACGTGCAGGAGGGGCGCACATCCTTCTGTCAGGCGAGACACGTGCAGGTGAGGCACACATCCTTCTGTCAGGCGAGACACGTGCATGTAAGCCACAGTTCCTTCTGTCAGGCGAGACACGTGCAGGAGGGGCGCACATCCTTCTGTCAGGCGAGTCACGTGCAGGTGAGGCACACATCCTTCTGTCAGGCGAGACACGTTCATGTGAGGCACACATCCTTCTGTCAGGCGAGACACGTTCATGTGAGCCACACATCCTTCTGTCAGGCGAGACACGTGCACGTGACGCACACATCCTTCTGTCAGGCGAGACACGTGCAGGTGAGGCACACATCCTTCTGTCAGGCGAGACACGTTCATGTGAGGCGCACACCCTTCTGTCAGGCGAGACACGTTTATGTGAGGCACACCGCCTTCTGTCAGGCGAGACACGTGCAGGTGAGGCACACATCCTTCTGTCAGGCGAGACACGTGCAGGAGGGGCGCACATCCTTCTGTCAGGCGAGACACGTGCAGGTGAGGCACACATCCTTCTGTCAGGCGAGACACGTGCATGTAAGCCACAGTTCCTTCTGTCAGGCGAGACACGTGCAGGAGGGGCGCACATCCTTCTGTCAGGCGAGACACGTGCATGTGAGGCACACATCCTTCTGTCAGGCGAGACACGTGCATGTAAGCCACAGTTCCTTCTGTCAGGCGAGACACGTGCAGGAGGGGCGCACATCCTTCTGTCAGGCGAGACACGTGCAGGTGAGGCACACATCCTTCTGTCAGGCGAGACACGTGCATGTAAGCCACGGTTCCTTCTGTCAGGCGAGACACGTGCATGTGAGGCACACATCCTTCTGTCAGGCGAGACACGTGCATGTGAGGCACACATCCTTCTGTCAGGCGAGACACGTGCATGTGAGGCACACATCCTTCTTTCAGGCGAGACACGTTCATGTGAGGCGCACATCCTTCTGTCAGGCGAGACACGTTCATGTGAGGCGCACATCCTTCTGTCAGGCGAGACACGTTCATGTGAGGCGCACATCCTTCTCACTGACACACGTAGGTGGTGGGAGACGAAAAGTCGATCAAAGTTCTATTGTCGTATGACACCAGAACAAACCTCGCTGCTTCTATGGTCGACCCATATCTACAGCGTGTCGATATTGGCGATGGTGACTTGCATTATGTCACGGTAATGTTTCATTGGTGTTGATATTGCTGTCCATAGTTGGGTGATGATGGCGGTGACGGTATTGATAGTGATGGCGGTGGAAACTCTTTTCTCTTTATCACATATCTATAGTGTCTCATAAATCAATCAAACAACATGTTAGCGAGGTAATCCCCACATTAACTGAATCAACACACATCATGCTGTATAATAAATAATCTCATATTTATTTGTCAGCCCCGCAAGTTTGCATTATGCTTCCACTGGTTTCTTGACACATACTGGAAGTCCCCCCTCTGAAGTCCCCCTCCCCTCTGAAGTCCCCCCCCCCCTCTGAAGTCCCCCCCCTCTGAAGTCCCCCCTCTGAAGTCCCCCCTCTGAAAGTCCCCCCTCTGAAGTCCCCTCTGAAGTCCCCCCTCTGAAGTCCCCTCTGAAGTCCCCCCCCTGAAGTCCCCCCTCTGAAAGTCCCCCCTATGAAGTCCCCTCTGAAGTCCCCCGTCTGAAGTCCCCTCTGAAGTCCCCCCCCCGAAGTCCCCCCTCTGAAAGTCCCCCCTCTGAAGTCCCCCCTCTGAAAGTCCCCCCTCTGAAGTCCCCTCTGAAGTCCCCTCCCCCCTGAAGTCCCCCTCTGAAAGTCCCCCCTCTGAAAATCCCCCCTCTGAAGTCTCCCCTCTGAAGTCCCCGCTCTGAAAGTCCCCACTCTGAAGTCTCCCCTCTGAAGTCCCCCCTCTGAAGTCCCCCTCTGAAAGTCTCCCTCTGAAAGTCTCCCCTCTGAAGTCCCCCCTCTGAAAGTCCCCTTCTGAAGTCCCCTCTGAAGTCCCCCCCCCCTGAAGTCCCCCCTCTGAAAGTCTCCCTCTGAAAGTCTCCCCTCTGAAGTCCCCCTCTGAAAGTCTCCCTCTGAAAGTCTCCCCTCTGAAGTCCCCCCTCTGAAAGTCCCCCTCTGAAGTCCCCTCTGAAGTCCCCCCCCCCCCCCCTGAAGTCCCCCTCTGAAAGTCCCCCTCTGAAGTCCCCTCTGAAGTCCCCCCTCTGAAGCCCCCTCTGAAGTCCCCCCCCCTGAAGTCCCCCCTCTGAAAGTCCCCCCTCTGAAGTCCCCCCTCTGAAAGTCCCCCCTGTGAAGTCCCCTCTGACGTCCCCTCCCCCCTGAAGTCCCCCCTCTGAAAGTCCCCCCTCTGAAGTCCCCCCTCTGAAAGTCCCCCCTCTGAAGTCCCCCCTCTGAAAGTCCCCCCTCTGAAGTCCCCTCTGAAAGTCCCCCTCTGAAGTCCCCTCTGAAGTCCCCCCCCCCGAAGTCCCCCCCTGAAGTCCCCCCCCTGAAGTCCCCCCTCTGAAGTCTCCCCTCTGAAGTCCCCCCTCTGAAAGTCCCCCCTCTGAAGTCTTCCCTCTGAAGTCCCCCTCTGAAGTCCCCCTCTGAAAGTCTCCCTCTGAAAGTCTCCCCTCTGAAGTCCCCCCCCCCTGAAGTCCCCCCTCTGAAAGTCTCCCCTCTGAAGTCCCCCCTCTGAAGTCCCCCTCTGAAAGTCTCCCTCTGAAAGTCTCCCCTCTGAAGTCCCCCCTCTGAAAGTCTCCCCTCTGAAGTCCCCCCCCCCCCTGAAGTCCCCCCTCTGAAAGTCTCCCCTCTGAAGTCCCCCCTCTGAAGTCCCCCCTCTGAAGTCCCCTCTGAAAGTCTCCCCTCTGAAGTCCCCCCCCCCCCCCTCCCTGAAGTCCCCTCCTCTCTGAAGTCCCCCTCCTCTATGAAGTCCCCCTCCCCTCTGAAGTTCCCCCTCTGAAAGGTGAACAAGACCTGCCTGACATGTCGCGTGTGTAGCGGCCATACAATTCCACATTCCTGCGATGGGATTCGAACCACGAACCTTTTCGTAAATATCTGCAAACTGCCGACCTACCACATGAAGCGCCTTGTCTGTAAAGAACTGTAAGAGACCCACGTACCAGACCAGGAAAAGCCTTATGGGCGGCATGTGGTTCAGTTCAACTTCGACCCCGGCGGTCTTGGCTCAAGTCCCGACATTACTAGGTGCATCATCAACGGTAACACTGGTCAAGAGCCCCTCTCCACAAAAAAGTTTACATCTTCGCGAGGCAAGGGAGTTAACTGACTGTAAGTGTCCAGTTTCCACCCTTGCCGAACTAGGCTAGAATTCCAGGGCTCGATCGTAGCGCCACCAGTGGCTATTACGAGTTATGTCCCTACTATGTCCCTCCTATTGACCAATCAGATTCCACCTCTCATATGACTTGTATTTGCTTCAAATATAATGGCGTCGCCCAGTGAAGACGATCAAGATCTATATTGTAATACAACGGGTCTTAGTTCGCGGAGTGCAACAGATCACGTCAGCACCTTGTTTAAAAACAGGACAAGATTTGGAAAATATCTGTTGACGCTAAGTTGTCGGAATAGATGTTTTGCAAAACCTGCAATCGACCGAAATCTGCACGTCAGTTTACGAATCGGATGTCAATTTCGTCACTCGATTTTGATTACACTATGTACAGACTCGTTAGTCCAGCCAAAATATAACTTCATAATTCAAGTTCGGCAAAAGTTGAAAGTGGACTTATATACTCAGTTAACTCCCTTGTCTCGTTAAGATATACGTTTGGCGTAAGTCAGTATTAAAAAATGGCAATCACGTGTCTGCATACCAAGCACATGATTGGTCAGTTCGAATCAGTCCTGTATTCAGCTTTACATTACCGTTTAACCATCTCTCGACCACTTCAGCGTTACAGCGAGTCTGGATAACGCGGGTCGGTTGAACGTTAGACATCAGTATCTGCATCACCATTGATGCCAACACCTTAACTTCAGCTCGTCGACGGGGCGGTTTGGTAGCCTAGTGGTTAAAGCGTTCGACCCGGGTTCGATTCGACATGGGTACAATGTGTGAAGCCCATTTCTGGTGTCCCCCGACGTGATATTGATGGAATATGGCTAAAAGCGTCGTAAAACCATACTCACTCACTCATCTCGTCGACATGATGTGCCTACAGTTCTGCGCGATCTATCCGCCGGGCGTCCAGGCTAGCAAATAGACCTAGGTCCGCAACAACTTCTGCTTGTCTTAAGAGACGACGAAATGGATCGGGCGGTCAGGCTCACAGACTTGGTTGAATGCATGTCATCGTTTCCCAATTGCATGGATTGAAGCTCGTGATGTCAGTCACCCGTGAAGACCCGGGTTAGAATTGGTCTTCAGCAAACCATGCTCGTCGTAAGAGGCGACTAACGGGATCGGGTAGTCAGGCTCGCTAACTTTGTCGATGCGCGTCAACGTGTCCAAATTCTCTGTATCGATGCTCGTGATGTCAATCACTGGATTGTCTAGTCCAGACTAGATTATTTACAGACCACCATCATATAGCTGGAATATTGCTGGGTGCGGTCTAAACAACAAACGTGATGTCAGTCACTGGATTGTCTGGTCCAGACTCGATTCTTTAGAACGATAGCTGGAATATTGCCGAGTGTGGCGTTAAACGAGAAGCCAACAAACAAACAGTTCACGGATACATGTTAGCATCAGTCTTATTTGGACCAGTGACGCCAGGAGCACGTGCTGTGTTTATTCCTTGTTTACACTGCCTGGAGTCAGGCGGTAACGGGCCAGCGTTTATTCAGATAATATTGTTTTAGCGTAATGAGTTTATTAGATAGTCATTTACACTGGGTCCTATTACAGTCAGTTTGCGAACTCACATTTTCAAAAACAAGATCGCATGGTGATGGTGATGGTAGTAATTATCTTGTCATAATCAACCGTTTCTGAAAACAACAGCACGTGCGGCATCGTCGTTTGCCATATCATGATTATCGCCAATACCGCCGTCGCAAACAACAATTATCGCCGGCATAGGCATCTTCATCCTCAGCAACCTCATCGTCATCACTTCCTGTGGTTTCACGTGCTTACAGACGGACTCCCTCAACACGCTTGACCTTGGCCCCACAGAATTCTACTTGACGAGTACCAGGCGTTGTGCGTCTACTGAACAGTTTTCTAGAAACAATGTTACTTGGAAGAGCTTCTTTCTACGAAAGCCTTATGTTGCAATAATTTGTATATCGACATTTCTCGGTATTTCAATTACTGGTATTTGTTGATTTTTTCGATATTTAACAGTTTACTTCTGTGACCAGTGACAGTTTACTCCTGTGACCGAATGACAGTTTACTTCTATGGTAAGTAGTGTAGTGGCGCGTTCCATTCATCCATGTAAACCTGACGGTTCGGGGTACATAGGCTCACACAGAGGGTACATCACACCTGACGGCTCGGGGTACATAGACTCACACACAGGGTACATCACACCTGACGGCTCGGGGTACATAGACTCACACACAGGGTACATCACACCTGACGGCTCGGGGTACATAGGCTCACACACAGGGTACATCACAACTGACGGCTCGGGGTACTTAGACTCACACACAGGGTACATCACACCTGACGGCTCGGGGTACATAGGCTCACACACAGGGTACATCACACCTGACGGCTCGGGGTACATAGACTCACACACAGGGTACGTCACACCTGACGGCTCGGGGTACATAGGCTCACACACAGGGTACGTCACACCTGACGGCTCGGGGTACATAGGCTCACACACAGGGTACGTCACACCTGACGGCTCGGGGTTCATAGGCTCACACACAGGGTACGTCACACCTGACGGCTCGGGGTACATAGGCTCACGCACAGGATACATCACACCAGACGGCTCGGGGTACATAGGCCCCCACACAGGGTACATCACACCTGACGGCTCGGGGTACATAGGCTCACACACAGGGTACGTCACAAATGACGGCTCGGGGTTCATAGGCTCACACACAGGGTACGTCACACCTGACGGCTCGGGGTACATAGGCTCACACACAGGGTACGTCACACCTGACGGCTCGGGGTTCATAGGCTCACACACAGGGTACGTCACACCTGACGGCTCGGGGTACATAGGCTCACACACAGGGTACATCACACCACTCGAGATCGGTTGACAACTTATAATGTATGGACTCCTATGCAACCTGCTCTATGGGCACAGGAGACGTACCTGTCGGGAAATATGGTGTGCCGGGTGTCGAACGTTTACTGTCACATCTCTGTTTGAAACCATGCTCAGGTTGGTGATGTAATATCTTTAGAAAATGGTGGTTATGAAAGTTTTCGAATACAATAATATGTATCCTCTATACTTAAGCACCCAACACATTCTCTTCAGTTATCAGATTTAAGGTTATACCTCTTACTTGGAAATCTGTTCCGTGAAGATTCCGGGTTAGAGCAGGTCTCAATACAGCAACCCAACTGATTTACCATCTGAACTAGAAATAAAGGAGACTAGTGAGACCGCCTCATCCGTTTCATATTGTTGTAAGAGGCGACTTACGGGATAGAGTGGTCAGGCTCGCTGACTTGGTTGATGCATATCATCGTATCTAAATTGGTGATCGATGCGCATGATGTCAATCACTGGATTGTCTGGTCCAGACTCGATTATTAACAGCCCGCCGTCATAAAGCAGAAATATTGCTGAGGGGGGTGTTAAACAAACAATGAAAACTTGGAAATCTACTTGAGGTGCCACGTGACTACCAATGTTCTAAACGTCCCAATGGCCAGGATGGCGAGGTACAAAACAACCTACGACTGTCTTCAGCCTGTGTTGAGGTTTGGGGGCTATGTCGCCTGACTGCTTTGTTCAAGGGCGCCCGGCAGTTCATGATCCAAGGATTGACAAAATCTGCAGTACGGAGATGTCCCCGAAACTAAAACTTGTCTCACCACAGGGAGATCCCGGGTCTCAAATATACCCCGTACTTGTGGCCTGAGCCGAGTGGGGTGGTGATCGGGTGTCAGACATACCCCGTACTTGTGGCCTGAGCCGAGTGGGGTGGTGATCGGGTGTCAGACATACCCCATACTTGTGGCCTGAGCCGAGTGGGGGGGTGATCAGGTGTCCGTCATACCCGGTACTTGTGGTTGGAGCCGAGTAGGGTGGTGATCGGGTGTCAGACATACCCCATACTTGTGGCCTGAGCCGAGTGGGGTGGTGATCGGGTGTCAGACATACCCCATACTTGTGGCCTGAGCCGAGTAGGTTGGTGATCGGGTGTCAGACATACCCCATACTTGTGGCCTGAGCCGAGTAGGTTGGTGATCGGGTGTCAGACATATCCCATACTTGTGGCCTGAGCCGAGTAGGTTGGTGATCGGGTGTCAGACATACCCCATACTTGTGGCCTGAGCCGAGTGGGGTGGTGATCGGGTGTCAGACATACCCCATACTTGTGGTTGGAGCCGAGTGGGGTGGTGATCGGGTGTCAGACATACCCCGTACTTGTGGTTGGAGCCGAGTGGGGTGGTGATCGACGCCGGTACATCCCATTCTTGTGGTTCGACCCGACTAGGATGGTGATCGGGTTGCTGTGTGATTGTCTGTCATCCTGTCCCGATGGCGTGGTCATCCTCATGCTTGTAGTCACTGGATCATCTGGTCCAGATTCGACCTGTGCAGGCCGCGGTGATGTAGCCGCGATGTTGTTCACTCACTTACTCACCAAAAACTCTCCTATTTCTGCAAGTTGTCTTCAGGAGTGTGTGGTGTGGGTGGGGTATATTGTGCCACTTTGAACAACATTTCAGTTACATCACGTGATGTCAGGTCAAGGGTATACCGTTTGTTTGACACTTAGTGAAACCCACGAACACGGGTATGGTGGAGACAGTGTTCAACTTAAAACACGGAGGGGGACGATCTGGTGACAGGGCAGAGGCCTTGTCTAGTTCAAATACTGAGTGATTGTGTGAGCTTG